CAAGGTCGGCTTCTTGGGAAGTCGGCAGTCAGGAGTCGGCTTATCCTGAAGTCGTTCCTGGGACTCGGCCGCGAGTGGCTAGTCGGTTGCCTTGCCGCCGACTTCTCTAAAGGCGGCACCGTGTCCTGGGATCTTGAGGGGCGTAGCCTACCCCGATGTCCTGAAAGGTTCTGGGGCTCGGGTTAGCCTACCCGTGGCCCATTACTTCTCTAAATTACGCTAGACGTGATGTTGTCTACAGCGAATCTGTATCCTAGTGTTTTCCACAAACCTAGCCCTCGAAGTGGTGATTTTATGTAATTTACTCCATCCGGCAGAAACCACTTAGTTTCACTGGATATTTTCTCGATTGCAATTGTAAGGCTCCTGAATTAGTTTTGGGATTAATATAACGCGACCTTGAATATCTAGCCATGCAATCAAATTCAATTTCGATCAACCCCTAAACCAATGGTGGCGCTATGTGTAAGCTGTGAGTTCAGCTGACCCCACAGCTTTTTACAAACCCACTTCAGTTTATAGACTTTTACACATTAGTCCTTGGGTTGTAAGGCAAATGACCCCATAGATATTTGGTGCTCACATTAACTTCCAAAATTTAAGGCCAATGATTATTTTTCAGTCAGTAAAAATGAGGATATGATGTTGCAAGTATTATACCTTTAATATAATTCTGAAGGTCTCCATTAGGAACATACTCAAAGCAGAGTAACCTTTGTGTTTCCTGTGCTATCACATGTGTTCCATTCACTTCCATCAGTTCACCGTGTGCAAGTGCACAATAGCCTAGAAGTCTGACTACATTACTATGATGTGCCTTTTTCAAACATACAATCTCGTCCACGAATGCATTATTAGATAAATCCTGCAATATAGAGAGCTTCTTCACCGCAACTTTTCCTTTTGGAAGAATTCCCTGTTTTCACTCACCGTACATGTTAGCATTGACATGAACATTTCACTTCAATGGGGTAACATATGAAAAATTGTGATTTGAGAGATGATCAGAAACAAAGTATATACCAGGTAAACAGCTCCAAACCCACCACGCTCGATCATTCGAGAAAAATTTCTTGTAACTGATTTTAAAAGTGCATATGATAGCTTTGTTGGCTCTGCACTTGCATCACTTAACATGCTCTCCAGGGCCTTCAGTTCATTTGCTTGATCACGCATTTCTGCCATAGAAAACCCTCCTTAATAATAAGTACCATGGTAATAGTATTTCTCCTCATGAACTTCTAAATCATGTTATTTCGCCACTAAAAGAAGAAATTTCTATTATCAACCTAAAATGAAAATGTTACAACACCTAATGGATTCCATACCAATATATGGTCCCAAGTGCGCATCTGTTTATTTACTTTACCCTTTTCTACCATTCGTGTTTGCAGAGCTAATTACAGTGACCATAACAATTCAGTGCATATTCTAAAAGCATGGATTTTTACCATTTCTAAAAACAGAAGTTTTAGATGAACTGCACTAATTCATGCGAGCTTTTGCACATTGTTGTACATAGGTACACTACACCAGAAAAGGTTTTGTGGATCATGGAGAAGTAAATGATAATAATGTTCCCTAGTGACTTAATTATCCTTTCCTTTTGCTGAACTAGTATTTTCCTTCCTGTGAAAGTGTAATCCATAACTACTAGCGTACAATAGATAATTTTTTTCCGAATAACACTAACCTGAAGAAGACCATGCTGTGATGCTGCTCTCAGAAGACAGGATGAATTCTCCGTAGTGGTAATACTATCAAGCATACAAGGGTCATTATGTATATATACCAATTTTTTCAACGAGGAAAAACGATACGAAATTGCGATAACAAAAGGTGTGGACTAGAAACCCTTATATCCTTATGGTACAATGTTTACAATAATCTGGCACTTTGGCACTTACTAAACCTGCCATAAGGCCACAATGGTCATGATGCACATTAGCACTTCTGGTTTCCTACTATCAGTTATTTGATTAAGTGGTCTCAATGTCCAGACACATACAAGTACTTTGTGCAATACAATATTATTAGGAATGATACATGTAGTGCTTTTCATCCATATTGCAATTCCTGTCCAATAGGACTAAAATGGCCATGGAAAAGCATAAGTGGTTGCACTTTCCTATTGCCATTTATCTCATCACACACAGAGTATGTACTCTTTACATACTCTTTTTGTTTGACTATATCTGTGCTGCCAGATGATCACTATACGCTCAAGCAAGCACGATAATATGACCTTAAATACACACTACACTCAATAGGCAATCGGCCAACTAACTAAATAGGAGTACAAAGTAGAAACATTGCACTAAGTATGGTCTTTCTCTCAGTAGACATATATGTTAAAGTAGAGTTGTTTCAAAAGCCAGATACAATGAAACAGAAATAATACACACAGAAAATATTGTGATTGTGTGTACTTTGCATCTTTTTAGGGGAGTTTGTGTATACTTTGCAAAGTCATACCTCTGGCTGGCAGATTCAGTCTCAAGGAAATGCATTATTTGCCCAATTGTAGGCCTTCTTTCGGGTTGGATATCCACACAATTCAGCCCAATGTTGATCCAACACTCCACTTGTTGGATGAAACCCGCTTCAAGTGATGGGTACTTCAATTCGACATTGGAACCTTGCATCCAAGTTTTTACCGCCTGGTAAATTGGATTAGGTGGCTATGGTTATGTCATATACTAAATACACTTATTCATAATTATAACAAATTTCACTCAACGATTGCCCGATTAAGACAAAACTGTCTTTTACTCATATTTCTGATTTATTCCATGGTTTATCCAGTTTAACAAATTTCCCCAACCTAATAGGGAAGCCCCACATGTCAAGCGCATACATCGGCTGAAGCAGACAATCCATAGGTTCCATGTCACAAAATATTAAAATAATACTATCTCCGATCCATAATAAGTGTCGCAGTTTTGAACTAACCCAGTTCAAAACTGCGACACTTATTTTGGATCAGAGGGAGTAATAATTAATATGTTGAATCTTGAAAAAAAATTCTCACTCACTAGTTTACCATAGTTATGTGACAGTTGATACTTGACCTTTGTAAAAAAATAATTTAAATTATGCTTCAAAATGCATATTTTACATTTTTCATGAATTTAAAGAAATTCAATAGCTGCTTTCTAATATTTGTGATGCCATGTGTCATCTGACTCAACTACGACATACTCCTAGATCTTACAACTGGGTTAGCCGAGGAAATATTCTTAGAGGTAAACCCGTACAATATAGCACAAGGGAGGAGGGTTCACACTCTGCAGTACCTAGTGGGTAAAAAGGTAGAACTTACTCATACTCCCTCCATCCGGAATTAGTTGTGCACAATGTGAGCGACAACTAATTCTGGATGGAGGAAGTACTTAACATGTGCACAATGTGAACCATTTTGGCACAAACATAGAAAGAATCTGGGGAGGAAAGAACAATATTAAAGGACAAGTTAGAAGATCAGCGCATAAATTCTGTAGCGAAAGCAGATGTGCCAGGTGTGCTATTCGCTACTGGCGCTACCTGTAAGGAATTAATACAGCCTACAGAATTTGTCTGCCAAAAGCATGGCGACAAGGAGTTGTAAGAAAATATTCTTAAGACTCATCCATGTCGCTATGGTCAAGCCACAAGCGAACGCAATGTATTATTTAATACAAAAGTATGTTTGTATGCAGAAGTCTGACAGGTGGGCACCATCTAAAGAACCAGATAGGGTCTTCAACATTATAAGGTTTCCAGTGGTATACCATACATGGTGGGCCATGCCTTAAGGTCTACTTTAGATTTAAGCACTAGAGATGCCCTTATTCACACTGACATTGCCATAGAACCATATTGAAGGGTGTGAGTACCTTCTTAGAGTTCTATAGAAGAGTTAAGAGAAAAGACACAAATTGAATTTATTTTCTTAATTTCAAAATCAAAGAGCTTCAGTAAAAAAAAGCAGCAAAAATTCATATGGAATGAGCAATATTGATAAGATTGTCTTACATTCTCAATATATTACCGGCCTGATGATTCGTCGCAAGGACACCTGTCTCCCGTTGCGATCTCTATTATCAGAACACCCAAACTGTACATATTTGACTTGACTGTAACTTTACCGGTGTCCATGACCTCTGGTGCTATGTACCCTCTGCATAACGACATCTATTACTGAAAGATCATGGAACTACGCTAACGATATGCAAATCATGAAAGATCCAATGGGTCATCGAGAAGAACCATAAGGGGAGTGGTTTCCCCGGTTCAAGAAACCTGGGAGCAGGAGCAGACCGGTGTTCAATATGCTTTCCTGGCTTATCCTTTTTTTTTCCTTTCAAATTTTACTTTAGGCTTGAGTGTCAAGTTAGTAAGCACATAGGGATAAGGTGCTTCCAGTAGAAGGGATAAAAGGACTGAACTCAGTTACCACCCAATCCTGGATTCTAGATCAATAGGCCGCAGTTTTCTGAACCAGTGGTTACCTTGGTGTGACAGCCATTGAAGTGCAGAAATCCGCTAGCTTCGGGACCATGCCATTATCTAGCAAAACATTGGCAGGTTTAAAACCCTCATGGACAAGGGGGGCATCCTGGCATTCCACGTGAAGGTGATGCAATCCCTCACAAATGCCATGTATTATTTTGTGACGAGTTTGCCAATCGAGTTCGCAAGATTTATCTGCACGAAGAAAGTAATAGGTATGAAAGAAGTGGAAAGTAAACAAGAGCTACCTTGAGTTTCCATAACCATACCATTTAATATCATGTCCAGACTTCCATTTGGCAAAAACTCATAACAGAGCAAATTCTCTATAACATCCCACCATATGTACAGTTCTGGATTCTTGTCATCAGGAACTGGTACTTTTGTTGGTTCGTAGCAGTAGCCCGTTAATCGTACTATATTTTTGTGTCTGAGTTTCATAAGATTCACCACTCGCTCAAACTGCTCCTCTAGTTTTCTTAGTCTCTCATCGAATCTCTTCACAGCTATCACTTCCCCATCTTCAAGCTTTCCCTGCTCAACTGCTGTTATTAACACATGGAAATGAATTCTGGAATCTGTACTTTGTAGAAATCCAAAAGGAGGCGATGCTTTGAATCTGCACCTTATAAACAGCACCTAAGCCATCATGACCAAGTTTTTGAGAGAAATTACTCGTGACGTGTTCCATCTCTTGGAATGATATTCTCCTGACTTCATAATCATGAACAGCCTTTTAGATGACACCAAAACATTTCAAGTAAGAAACGGTGGATATGAACTGCTCTTCTAGTTGTTAACAATACTGGTGACTATGTCAAAAAGTAAAACAGGAGAGTGCCTACGCTACATGTGTATGTAAATTATGGACTTCACAGACATCTTTTTCACCATCCGGCATACATCCTATGAGTGCAAGCTTCAAAATACAGTGAGAGGTTTTAAAACCTTCTGAGATCATATAGAATGTTCATACCTGTTCTACCCGCGACGACAGGTAATCTTCCCTAGTTTCTACTTCATATAGTTTACGAACAATATCCTTCATCAGTGGCCTTTCACCTGGGTCTCTGTGCATGCAGGCTACTGCGATTCCGATACAAGTGCTCACTTGCTGGCAATCTGCTTCAAATGAGCGATACCTCCTTATCTCTTGTAGCCTTTTCCTCCAGCTTTTGTGTACCTTCAAAGAGAGAGTACAAGCGTGTATACATAGGTAAATGACACATTATGAAATCTTATGACATTTGAATTTCTAGCACAGGGTCAAGAGCAAAGTTGTCAAGAGAAAACTTGGAGTAGCAACAGTTTTAAGTGACAATTTAGACTTGAGTTCTACGAACAAGTGACAATTTTAAACTTGAGTTCTACAAACCATATATAGAGTAAACTTTTTATTGCCATATGTCTGATAATCTTTAAAATAGAAACAAAAAATAGTTTATTCATACATGCTCAACACATTTAGGACCATCCATGTGATGAATGCTCGAGTCTGTAGTTCCAGCCATTATACTTTTAATTAGAGCGCCCAAGCTAAAGATGTCAGACCGTTCTGACATTTTTCCATAGCAATATATTTCTGGTGCCATACTGCATCATAACACAAACGATACAAAGTGAGAATAAAGACAACCCAAATTAGCTGATTAAAAAATTGCATGTCAAGCAGACATCAACTTACTATCTCAATCTGTAAGTACACCCTCGAGTAACTGTGGCTCCGTCGTTTACTGCCTTGAACATCTCATATAAACCAAACTCTGTGATTTTTGGTATCTTTCCATTGTCTAGCAATATATTACCTGGGTTGAGATTAAAGTGCACAATGCCAGCTTCCTGAAGGTATTGTAAACCCTCACAGATCTCCTTTATTATTTTGAAGCGTATACTCCATCCGAGATGTTGTTCTACAGTCAGGGACTGAAGATGATTATTTCCAGAATGTAAATGTTTAAGGATCATTTTGGTTATATGTTCAACAACATACATGCGTTGGAGCGCTTGCGCACCTGAAAGAAAATTGGCAAGACTTCCGCCGGGTACATACTCGAAGCCGATTAACCTGCGTTTGTATACACCGCGTATTACTCTCCCATCGTACAGATGTGATTCTTCATGTTCTCCGTAGGAATAGCCCAATAGTCTCACAAGATTCTTATGGTTGGTGCTCATAAGTTGTGTACAATGATGTGAGAATTGCTCGTCATCAAACTTTGACATCTGATGGAGCAGCTTCACGGCGATCACTTCCCCGGTTGGAAGATATGCCTGTTCAACAGCTTGGATAAGTTAAATTTATATATGATTCGGCCTGCTTTGTGACCGCAAGGAGTAGAGAAGGATTCATGTTTCTCACCTTGTTACTAAAACTCTACGAAACTATTAATTCTTTTCATGTGGGAAGTGGTGAGAGACGGTGGACCATATTATAGTAAGTAAACGTATTTGACAAGATCAGGAAATGTGCTATGTGTGCCTGTAACTCGTAATGGGATACCTTGTAAACTTTTCCAAATTGGCCCTTGCCAAATTCACCGGTAGCCTGCTTGAAGAAATGATAACCTGGCATCCTGGACTCACCACTTGTCCCTTGCGAGTTGGCCTGTAGGAGCATGGATGAGTATGGTTTTCCTATTTTAGATAGAATTAAGAAGCATTACAAAAGTAGTTAGTTGCGAGCAACTTTTTTTTAGGCAGTTGCGAGCATCTGATAGGTGTATTTCCTTAACGTCTCGAAACTTCATATCAAAATATTGTCTACTTCTAAGTCGGTTGATAAGTTATTATTTCTAAGTTAAGAATCTTGGATGTTGATTCTTTATGAAAAAAAATCAGGTAGTTTCACAAAAAAAAATAATGTGTATTTCTTAGTTGTGTAAATGTACCCAGGAGTTGCACAAAATCATTATTATTTTCCTTTCTAAATGAAGACTTCATGATGAACAACCTGACCGACTTAGAACTAAATTTCTCAAGTGACCAAAAAATAGAAATCCACAAGAATAAGGTATGTACAGTGAAGACATGGCGAGCAAATACTACATGTAGAACCATGAAACTACTGATAAAGTAGGAAGGATCAGTGGCGGAGACAGGGGGGGACCAGCAGGGGCCCTGGCCCCCCTTGACATTAGGAGTTTGCTACTAATTCACTGATGAACAGTGCATGATTAGCAATTTTTTTATGCTTAAAGTCTATTTTTTCTATGCTTTGGCCCTCCTCAACCTATTTTGACTGCAATCGGCCCCCCTAATTCAAATTTCCTGGCTCCGCCACTGAGTAGGATGATGTTGTATGTATCACAGGGCTATCAGGTTGAAGATGTTAAATAAATCACACCTGAAAGGGGAAGTTTGGTGTTCCGAAACCAGAACACGGCTCCGGTGGCGGCGAGGACATTCTGGACTTGGAGCTGTGGAGAACTGCACACACGGGTGAGGACGGGGTTGCAGAATGCAAATAGTGGCAGGATTACAGATAAAGGTACAAAGATGCATGCGCTTACCTGAGGAGAGTATCAACCAGCAGTGTGCAGACCAAGCAAGCAATCAGAGTGAGCTTGGCCCTTGAGGGGTGGAGGAGTCCACATCTGGATCTTAAAAATCTGAGCCGAATAGTTTGACTCTGCCATTCGTCCCATTAGTAGATTTTTCGTAGAAGTTAGACCAACTTGACTCAGAGGTCGGCTTCGTTTCAGACATGGGCAGTCACAATGTGTGTGACAGGCGGGGCCTATTGCCTATCCACACCACCGCAGAAATTTGGTGAAAAATCCGCAACTTGTCCAATCCAATCCAATAAATAAACACCTGAAACAGCGAAAACAATTTTTTGGTTTAACAGAAGCAACAATGCCATCCGCAATTCTACTTCGTTTCCCGTAGCTTATTAAGGACAGCCAATGGAATTAACAACAGCAGCAGAAGAAAATAGACGAGGGGGCATCTAGGAAATCACCGATTGCGCAGTCGGTGCTCGCCGCCGCAGCAAGCCGTCGTTTCCCACTCGCGGTGGAAGCGCAGGCCGGCAAGCGTGCCGCCGCCGCTGGCACCCCGCGCGCCCAGCTCGTACAGAAGCGGCCATCGAATCCCCAGCTGCACAACTACTCTACTCGCTCGTGGGCGGTGTGAGTGAGGAGGCTAACCGCTAGCTGGGCGCGGAGCCGCCTCCGCCACCGGAGGAGGACTAGGACCCGCGTCGCCCCGAGCCCGAGCCCCGACGGTGGACGCCGGCGGCCGGCCGCCCCGACCAACGATCCCCGCCCGCGAGCTGCCGGGCCGCGCTCTCTCGACTTCCCAGCGTTTGTCGTGACAAAGTCAGCCCAGCCCACGAATCCATTCGCCCTCATCTTGCCTTTTTGGGCCAGACTTGTGGTTGTTGGTCCGAGCTCCATTTTTTCCAGTTTGTGCTTTTATAAACTTTATTTATTTATTACACAAACTAAAACTAAACAAACGAAATATCAATATGGATAAGGGGGTCATTGATTTTAAGAAAAGTAGAGCTGTCCATGTTTGCCTGAAAGCCACACAACTTGTTGACACCATGCATATGGAAAAATTGAAATACATTCAATATTTGTGGGGTGTCGTAGTCTTTTGCCTCCTGCATCTATATTTGTGGAAATTGTCGATGCGGACCATGAGACGCCGATGGCCACCATCTGTGAAGCAAATTGCCACCCAAAAGAAAGAAAACACATCGATAAGGGCTCCGAAGAAACATGAAGACCACGAAAGCTGGATGAATCCAGATGGATCCATCTAGAACCTAAACCGATCAAATCTCTAAAGACCCACTCGAGCCACAGCTCCACATGCCCTCCACAAGTGCAAAACACACCAATGGAACGAAGACAGGGCGAAGAGAACTACCCTGGGGCAAAGCTGCCGCTTCGTCGCCCTAAACCAAACACAAAGACTCCCTAAAGAAAAACTAGGGAAAACACCCATGCCACTGTACAACAGGTCTAAGTTTGATGTTGAGCTCGCAGTCGTTCAAAACCATAGACCGAGGCCTTCTTCTCTGATGATCTGGCCAGGCCGGGCCACTAATGAAGACCTCCGTGCTAGATCCCTCTAGCCACCGCAGGCTTCACCAACG